GGCGGCGCTGCTTTCTTTTTTAATGATGATGATGTTGTTGGACAGTGCGTCTTGGGGAACCCGACCCTTGCGAAAAGTTAGCAATGTATAGTGACAGCGTCTTCCGTCAGACACTGTCATGCGCCATAGAGATGCCTGCATACGTATTAATCGTTGGTACGTTAAATAAGGAAAGAATAACGTGGTGCCCATTTCGAAGATAATAGGTCTGGCTATATAAATGGACAGACGCTGCTATATATATATATAGGAACCAGTTCGTTGGCTCTTTGTGGGTTGGTTGTATGTTTGTATGCTTTTTTGTTTTGTTTTCTTTTTGTTTTGTTTTGCTTTTTTTTAAGGGTCAGGGGAGTTTTTGTTCTCGTGTGTTGTCCGTGATTTATAATTCATTTTCATTTTTTTCAAAGGGGTCAGAGGGTACAAACCACTAAGCCCCACCATAAGAAGTGGTGCATCAGATGACGTGGTGGCTTCTTCAATGAGCCCACACATACTTACTGGCACTGGCGTAATGATGTCCGGCGCGCCCTCGCCCTCCGAGCTGTCGGCGTCCACGAAGGAGGTGATCCTGACCCTCAGCATGCAGCCCCGGCGCCGCACGATCACCGGCACGTCCTCTTCGTACACCATCGACTCGTTCCGCTGGAGCGGCGGCTCGGGGCTCCGCGGTGGACTCAGGCCCGCGCTGGGCGGACGCGAGCTCTCCGGGCACGGCAGGCAGTCCGGGGAGCGGGTCGAGGACGGCGAGGTAGAGGAGGCGGTGGGCGACGGGCTGTCGCCGCGGAGGGTGGCGTGCGACGAGGACGGGCTGAGCTGTCTCGGCGTCTGAGAACCGCTGCCGCCTCCGCTACCGCTTGTTAAGCTGCGTTGGAGACTCGACTGTCGCACGAGGCGGGACCGGAGACGAGGACTCAAGGGACATTCCTCTGGGCCAGTTGACGGTGTGCCTGGTCGGCCAGTCGAGCAGTCGGAATCAAAAGAATCTCCAGCGTCATTAAGAATTCTAGGCGGGGGAGGATGTTGGTGGTGGTGGTGCTGCTGCTGGTGGTGATGGTTTTGGTGTGGGTGGTGGTGGTGGTGAAGATGGTGGTGGTGGTGGTGGTGATGATGGTGATGTGCGTAAGGGATACTACCTTGATGGATCAACCCAGCACCCGGGTGGTAGCGGCTCTCAGCAGACGCCGGTCGTTCAAACACGTCTGGGGTGTCCCTGTCACTAGAGTCTGACTTATACTGGTAACTGCTGGAATGTTGGCTGTTCTGGCTGTCCACGGAGGAATGGTGGTGGAATTTCAACTCGTGCGACAGCGGAGATCTAGTGAACTGGCCCAGGTTGCCCGGGCAGCTGGTCTGGTGGCGCAGGCTCTGACTCGTATCCCCGAGAAGGGAACCCAGGCTCCCAGAGGCCGAGGAGGACATGTAGGAGCAACCAGAAGAGTGGTGCCTCCTCAACACGTCGTGCTGGAACAACACACTCCCTAGACCGCTGGAGGTCGAGTGCGGCCGGCGGCCCAACAGACCAAAGGGGCTGGCACCACCGCTAACCGCAGTCGGCGTACCCGGCATGCCGGGCGTATTTCGACCAGCGTACCCCCCGAAGCAGGATGGCTGGTGCTTGAGTCCTGGGGAAATCCTGCCGGGCGTACGGACCGGCGACACTCGCCGCCTACCCGACACAGGAGAAGCCGAACGCCGGCCGGTCTGGGGAGACATTCGACCGGCAGGCTCGCCACTAGGAGACAGACGGCCTTGACCCAGGATTGGGGACACACGGCCAGGTGGCAGGTCCGCGACCTTGAACTCGTCCGGGCATGTTTCCGGGTTAGTCAAAGTTGTGGGCAGGCTAGGTAAGCTGCGACGCGGGCGTTTGAAAGACATAATGCGTCTGATTACAAACCCCCAAAATGTTGGACACGACTTACAGGCTGGAACTCAAACGACTGTACAATTCCTCGTGGCTTGCGTCTTTGTAACAACTAGGAGACGCAAGTCGGTGTGCGTTACGACCAAGTACGAAATGACACATCAATTGTGCCCACAACATGTTCAATAATTTGGAATATGAAGCAAACTTAAGTAAGAGGTCTTGAAAAACTAAGTCAAACATTCTTCTTTCACATAATGAAAAGTGTCTTACAACTCGACGTAGAGCGAAGACCGCCGAATGGTATTGTCATAGAATCACCTTACCATCGAATCCGCTGAACACTGATATAATCCTCAAACAACGACATTCAGAACAACCCTTATCATGACCGTTGATAGAATCCCAAAGCAGCTACATTCAGAGCAATCCTATTAAATCCATTCAGAGATCACCTGCATGCCGCAGAGAATCCAATTAGCAAAAGAGACAATCCAATTATCGAAATTGAGAATCCAATTATCGAAATAATAGTCCTTTGTCGTCTTTCGTCCATCTGACAGGAATACTCAGATCACGGAGAGGCAGAATGTCTGTCACACGTCGTTATGGAGGCCTCGATTTTTCAGATCCGCCGAGAAACTCCAGAGTGCAGTCACTCTCTTGTCTTCGCACAAACACGTCTTCCATTTTTGATTACCAAGGTCAGGAGAGACCGGCCTAGAGCACACTATTTATTACAAAATAAAACACAATTCAATGAAGACCGATTCCCTCGAGTCGTAACATAACACTTTCTTCACATGTAAACTAGTCCCACGTTGATTTTTAATAGACGGAAACAAGGAATAAAGTCAGGTATGTTATGTGAATGACGCAACTGGTTGTAAGACAAAGAATTAAATAAGCAGTAACAAAAGGGCTTCCGAAACTTGCACTCGGAAGTTGACCTGCCGAACCACCTTCAATTTAAAAAAAAATTTTTTTTAAAGAAGCACGCAATGACCTCGGCGCCACGTATTCAATTACGCCCACATCCACACCGCCAGAAAAAAATATTGAAAACGTTTTACACCCACAAAGCACAGGATTTAGATAATTAATGAAGCGGGCGCTCCGGCCAGACCCTACAGAGTCAACTTCGGCAAAACATGCGTCCAAGTTCTGAGTAACGAGTAGTAGTATACCGAACCATTTACGGCCATTCAGTGCAGGGGGAAAGTGTTAAGACAGAATGGGAAAAATAACAGCTGAGAGACAGAAAGGGAGGGAGAGATAGAGACAGAGAGGGAGGGGGGAAGAGAGGGAAAGAGAGAGCGAAGCAGGGAGTTGG